ATTTTATATTAGAGTACATGTTTTTATTGTTATTGAGTTGCTAAGTCATGTCTTACTCTTTGCGACACCATGGTCTGTAGCCTGCCAGGCTCCTCTGTCCATGGGATTTCCCAGGCAAGAACACTGGCATGGGTTGTCATTTCTACTCCAGGGGAATCTTCCTAACCCAGGGATCAAACTCATGTCTCCTGTATTGGTGGGCGGATTCTTTACTGCTGAACCAAAGGGAAACCCATTTGGGTACATACACACAGGAAAATATGAGCCTTTATATTTTAGATCACTAAAGACACTTTTAGATCACTAAAGACAAAACATCATGTGAAGTAATGGGCTGAATGAAACACAAGCTGGAAACAAGATTGCTGGGAGAAATATCAATAACCTCAGATATGCAGATGACACCACACTTATGGAAGAAAGCAAAGAAGAACTAAAGAGATTCTTGATGAAAATGAAAGAGGAGTGTGAAAAGTTGGCTTAAAACTCAACATTCAGAAAACTAAAATCATGGCATCCAGTCCCATCACTTCTTGGCAAATAGATGGGGAAACACTGGAAACAGTGAGAGACTTTATTTTGGGGGGTTCCAAAATCACTGCAGATGGTGGCTTCAGCCATGAAATTAAAAGACATTTGCTCCTTGGAAGAAAAGCTATGACCAACCTAGACGGCATATTAAAAAGAAGAGACATTACTTTACCAACAAAGATTCATCTAGTCAAAGCTTTGGTTTTTCCAATAGTCATGCATGGATGTGAAAGTTGCACTAGAAGGAAATCTGAGCACTGAAGAATTGATGCTTTTGAACTGTGGTTCTGGAGAAGGCTCTTGAGAGTCCCTTGGCCTGCAAGGAGATCCAACCAGGATATTCTAAAGGAAATCAGTCCTAAATGTTCATTGGAAGGACTGATGCTGAAGCTGAAACTCCAATACTTTGACCACCTGATGGGAAGAGCTGACTCATTTGAAAAGGCCCTGATGCTGGGAAAGATTGAAGTGGGGGGTGGGGGGCGGAGAAGGGGATGACAGAGGATGAGATGGTTGGATGGCATCACTGACTCGGTGGACATGAGTTTGAGCAAGCTCCGAGAGTTGGTAATGGACAGGGAGGCCTGGATTGCTGCAGTCCATGGGGTTGCAAAGAGTTGGACATGACCAGGCAAATGAACTGAATTGAAAGAGAAAACACATAAGAATGAATGAGAAGAGCTTGTAATTTTTTATAGTATATTAAATCTTAATGTATGATAATGAAACAACAAAATTTTTCTAGAGATATGCAAATAAATTTTAAATTGTTATGTGGTTTATGCTAAATTTTTACTAAAATTAAATTAAGAAAAAATACTTTCTTGTGGAAAATGTGTATAAACATATTTTGAAACACCAGTTCCTATATATATGCATAAGGATGAGAAGGCATATAGATTCATTTAAATTGTACAGAAAAATCACCAAAGAAGGTATACCTGTCCAAATATTTATATATATATATATATATATATATATATATATATATATATAAACAGATATTATCCACTAAGAAAGTCTTTAAGTATTTTAATCAAAAAAAGTTCAGCGATGTTGTATTTTTTCTCACATGGTTATTAAATTCATTACAAAACATAGTCATTTTCCTTTCATATTTTTGATTTAAAACTCTACATGGTCTATTTATATTGTAAATAACTTGGGGACCCTAGGGAGACAAATAATTTGATAAGCAAACTATGATTTGTATTTACATTCTCTGCAAAATATCTGGTCTCTTTCAGAGGTATTTTCTTGACACATGAAATATCATCCCTTTAGAATTTCTTTTATGAGTATAGAGCAACTTGGCACTGTGCTTTAATATTTTTATTTATGCCTTTGTGCATTTATTTATGCTTCCCCATGTAATATATTTAAGCTTAGCTTTTGTTCTATTTACCAAGTATTGATAGTTAACATACCAATAGGAAATGTGTATATGAATTTACTTGGAAATGCAATATTTGCTTCTATCCATTTCAGTCACATTGGTTAAAACAGAAGCTAACTGAATAACCAGCATATCCTGCCATCTAATAAAATATGCTTCAAATATAAGAAAACACGAGAGTGGTATCCCTCAGATATCTCATCATTCATGATACATCAGGAAACCTTAGGTATGAACTAGGAATATGGATTGGCAAACCTCTTCTATACCTTTTCTAACAGATATAGGCAATTCTACCTGTCAGGATTTTTAGAGAGTCTCAAAAATGATTTTGTTTCTTTGTAGAAGTAAGTATGATTAAATTTTTTGATCCATGGATAAAGAAACTTTATTTTTAAGGCAGGTCTAACTTTTTAAGAAGAGTAAAATGTTGGTTAAATATATCTTTAACTCATTTAATTGGCCCCTTTCATATAAATCATACTTGATATTCCCTGGACATTTGTGCTCTAAATCAACAAATGTGCTAATTTTATTTTACATAAATTTTACATTCCACTATGATAAAATGAGAATCTATTAGAAGATGCCCTCAGATGTTTGTTGTGATGAGACAGATAGACACAAGCAGCTCTAAGTGTTGTAGCAGAGTAAGTTAATTTTATTCTGTGTAATTAAAAGTAAATAACTTCAGGGTCTTTGAACAGTCATATTTAATGCTCTGTCTTAGGGCAAGACATAGCTATGCATGTATCTGCATATATCGATACTTGAGAAGGATTCTATTTAGAAAGTCATTTGTAACTAATTTTTTTTGAGAACTGTAAGAAAATCAATACTTCATAATATACAAATTTGTAATATGTACATTCCAGGAGATACAATATCATTGTTTAAGGCTTTATTGGCATTAAGGCATTAAGTCAATGTAATATGGTAGAATAAGTAAAGAAACATTCAGTATCACAAAGTATCAAGGGAACTAGAGGCCGTTTTAACCTAGAAAGAGTAGAAAATTTTTCATATAGGACATATGAACTGAATTACACTTGCATTAAATGGTAGGTTTGGGGAAAATGAAGACGATCACAGCATTCTAGATAACAGCATACTCTAATATAAAAGAGAAAAGAGCTGGATATGTGAATAAAATAACATGAATGAGAATTTGCAAACCCCAATACCATCAAACCAAAGTAGATACACTGTTTTGGCTCTTAAGTTCTAGTAAAAAGCAGTAGGTTTATAACCATATGTGTTTTCCATTTTTCCCTTTAATAGTAATCAAACTTCTTCCTTGATGAGGGTTAATGTATGGTCTTCATCTGAGACAAGAAAGAGTAAGCGAGCTAGATCGAGTCAGGGGTACTAGTTCCCTGGACAAAGTGCCTTATTCAGAGAGAGAGAAATGAACACAAGTATGTCAGTTAGACTATCAGTATGATTTCTGATGCTGAGAAAGAGAGAACTGCTGGGTTTTCTGGAGAGAGATATGGTCCTGGAAAGATCAGTTTACCATGTGGTTTGACCTTATTTTGGCATCTTAACTTTAATGTTTGCATCTAAATTTGTTTAAACCCAGACGTCTACATGAAAAGGGAACTAAGATCAAGGGAAAAGAAATCCAGAGCTAAAGAAAAGAAGCAGAGAACAGACCACATCATTTCAGCATACAAATTTATCCTTGCCTGATTTTTCAAATATATGACACAAAAAAATCACCTTCCTGCTGTTTTATAGTTTCTTTAACATGCAACTAAATAGACTTTAAAGTTGGACAGGTTATAAATGTAGGCAAAATTTTGGCCACAGAGGTGAGGTGTTTAGCATATTTAATGTCAGTAATAATAATAAATCACTTTTTGAACATGTCCCTGTGTAATAATGTAGATAGGAAATGCCTTATACTTAAATTCCAGGAGTTGCCAGGCCAAATGTCTACTAGAATATAGAAAGTGGTCTATCAACATTTATGGAATAAATGAGAAACTAAACGGTCATGCTATGAAAAACAAATGCAACACGTCTTAATCTTCTTGTTCAATGAAGGTTTATGTGTGTTCTTTTTCTTTCCTTAATCAACTTTTTATTGGTTATTTCTATCCTAGTAAGTAGTTAATAGATTCATAATTTGAATGAAGAAATAATACACAAAAAAATTTTTTTATGACAAAAGGCATATTACCTTAGTGTGTGTGACGGACAAAGAAATAACAGACCTAATAGAATAAAAAGATCGTCCACTTTCTAGATTATTGGCAGGCAAATAAAGAAACAACTTACTTGAGAGTTTGATATAAATGTGACTGCTTAATTATCAAAGAATAAACCTTCATTTTGTAGAAAACAATGTAACTTCAGGATAGTTAATGACAATCAAATGTACAGAATAATGACATAATCAAAGCAAGGTTTTAGCATAATCAATCTCACAGTCTTTGCTGGAGAATAGAGTGTGGTGCATGCATGCAAGTTTTGAGAAAGGTAACATGTAGGCTTAGGGGAGAATAGCTTAGGTATACTGTGTTGTTATAATTTTCCTGCTAGTTCAGTCTAAGTTAAAGTTGTATTTTTCTTTTTTTTTTCTTTGAATCTCTCTAGTACAATAACAAAGTAAGCATGTAGTCAACAAAGCTTACAGATCTGCCTGTAAGTCTTTGAGAAGTCTGTAGATGAGACTAGTCAAATTCAGCTGGACTCTCAGCTAAGGGCCTTATAAAGTCTGAACAGGAGGTTTATTGATAGAGCTCTTATCTGAAGGCATCTACATCCAAGCTCATTCGGATTGTTGGCAGAATTCAAATCTTTGTGGTTGTAAGATTAACGTTCTGGTTTCCTTTCAGGTTGTCAGCTAAAGACCATCCTCAGACTTTATAGGCCAACTACAATTCCTGGTCACATGGCCACCTTCATCTTCCAGCCAGCAATGATGGACTGAATCCTTTCCAAGCTTCAAATCTGACTTCTGACACCAGCTGAGAAAACTCTCTGCCATTTAAGCATGAGATTAGACTACGCCCACTCAGTCGATGTCTCTTTCTACCCATCAGTGGATTAGTAATCTTAACTACATATGCAAAAATCCCCTTCGGCCATTTCATATAAAATAATCATGGGAGTCACATGGGAGGCAAAGATTACAAAGGTCATTTTATCAAATCAAATAATAAAAATTATTATTTTATCAAATAATTTATCAAAATATTTTATCAAACAAGAAAGCTACTATTTTAACAATTTAAGGGCACAATACAGTATTATTAACTACAGGTTCAATGTCTTAAAGACCTCTAGAACATATTCATCTTGTGTAAGTGAAACTATATCTTTGAACAACAACTGCCCAATTTCCCTGGTAGTCAACATTCTACTCTCTGCTTCCATGAGTTTGACTCTTCAAGATACTCCATATAAGTGGATTGATATAGGATTTGTCCCTGTGTGACTGGCTTATTTCACTTAACATAATGTCCTCCAAGTTCATCCATGCTGTTGCATATGGCAGGATTTCCTTCTTTTTTAAAGCCAAATAATATTCCATTGTATGCATGTACCATATTTTCTTAGCTTAGCTGATAAAGAATCCACCTGCAATGCAGGAGACCCCAGTTTGATTCCTGATATCCTGGGAAGACACCCTGAAGATGGAATGGCTACCCACTCCGGTAGTCTGGCCAGGAGAATTCTCCAGAAGAATACCATGGACTGTTTAATCCATGAGGTTGCAAAGAGTCGAGCAACTGTCACTTCCACCTCATTTTCTTAATCCATTCATCAATAGATGGATATTTATGTTGTTTCTATACCTTGCCTATTGTGAATAATGCTGCAATGAATATGGGGATGCAGATATTTCTTTGATATCTTAATTTCAAATTTATTGTAATATCCCCAGGTGTGAGATTGTTGGTTTATATGATACTTTCATTTTTAACTTTTTGAGGAAACTCCATAAGGTTTTCCAAAGTGTATGTACCATTTTACATTCCCATCAACAGCATACAAGGATTCCAATTCTTCAAATCCCTATAAATACTTTTTATTTTTGATAAAATACCTCTCTTTACAGGTGTGAGATAATGTCTCATTGTGGTTTTGATTTGCATTTACCTCATGATTAGTAATGTTGAATTTCTTTTCATGTACTTCTCAGCCATATGTATATTTTCTTTGGGAAAATATCTATTCAAATTATTTGCCCACTTTTTAAATCAAGTTATTTGTTTTGTTGCTATTATGCTAAAGAAATACCTTATATATTTTGGAAGTTAAACCCTTATCAGGTAGTTTGATTTTCTCTCATTCCATAAGTTACCTTTTGATTCTGTTATTTCTTTTGCTACACAGAAACTTTTTGTTTGACTTAGTCCTACTCGTCTTTTAACTTTGCTACCCGTGCATTTAATTTCTTCAAATGTATGACCTCTCTCAGTGTTCTCTTCATTTTTTAATTCAGTGAAATGACCTTTGGGTCCATAGTCTATGCTACAACTGTTTCTCCATCTTTCTATCAAAAGATCACATAAAAATGATGCAACCATTTGATTTTTGTACTGGTTCAAATAATTATACATGTGCTCCCCGTTTAGCCTTGAATGAAATAGTGGAAGTCATTTTTATTGCTAATAAATAGTACAGAGTAAAACACACAAAAGTACTTAGGGGATACCTATTTTACTATTTCTTGAAAGAGTGTGATGAATATATGATTTAGGGACTTGAGTTTTTCTTGATAAATTTCAAGTATGTCAGTATGATAGAATACATATTACAAAAATTTATTTCCATTATGAAATAATACTTGGAAATGGTAAAATAGTGAAAGACCCTTTGGGTCATTGAAAGAGTGGTGCCTCCATTACATCGCACTGCCTCTTGAAATTAAGCATTAGGATGCACACAGAATGTCCTTTACTTAATCTCATTGCCTGTCAGCTTTGCTTTTTTCCACTTCAGTAATATAACTCTTAGAATATTTGTTACCCAGAGGTTTTGTGTCAATCTGGGAAGCTCTCTGATTTATATAATCACAGAGATTTTCTATTTAAGGTCACTTATTATATGTCACATCTCTTAAAAATTAAATATAGCTATCTTTATCTTTGTTCTTCACCTAATGTGTGGAAGCCAATGTGTCATTCTTATTACCTAGCACATAAATTGCTCTTTAAAATCAATTGGATTTATTTGGCTTTAAAAAAAAAAACTGATATTTAAATTAAACACAACCTTAATTGAATTTGTATGCTTAGAGGAAAGGCAATGATGCTTCACTATTACTAGATGGAAGGAGCTCTAGTTGTTCCCACTATTACAAGAGATGATCCAATTTTATTTTTACATATTAGTGACAAGCATGTAAATATTCTAGCAACTGCCTCACAAGTTTGTTTGTATATCTTTGTCAAATCTCTGTGTTAATTTTTGAATAAATACTAACTTCTATATTTTGTAATTATGAAACATCTTTATTTCGTAAAGATATTTATGTTTGTTCCTAAATAAATTTTAACATAATTACTTAAGCTTTTAAAACACATTTTGTTACCTAACAAAGTGAAAGTGAAAGTCGATCAGTCATATCTGACTCTTTGGGAACCCATGGACTGTGTGAATTCTCCAGGCCAGAATACTGGAGTGGGTAGCTGGTCCCTTCTCCAGGGTATCTTCCCATCCCAGGGATCGAACCCACGTCTCCCACATTGTAGGAGGATTATTTACTAGCTGAGCAATCAGGGAAATCTAACTTTTAAAATAAATTAAATCAAAATAAAAACTTTAACATTATATATATATTTCAATACCATCATGATTGCAACTTTTGGGAATGGATATTTAAAACTTACCTCCATCCCCCCTTAGTAAATGTGTATCCAAAGGCTTGCCACTTAATATCATTTTTGATCTGCAAATAATAAAGTGCATATATAAATTAGCAGAGCCTGGAATAGTATAGTCAGTCAAAAGCACATTATTTTAATTAATCTGATTTTAAATTACAAAATACTTTATATAAAATCTTCTTAAGGTATATTTGAAGTTCATTTTTTTTGTTTTGGTGTATTTTGTTTTAATTTGTCCCTAATCTCTATTTGGTATATATCTCCAATGATGATTTCTATCTCAATATTTATAATATAGAATTTTTAGCTGTTATCTAGAATTTTTAGCTTAAAGACCATCTCATCCAGCACCTTCATCAGTGAGACAAGAGATTCACCGTATAAAGCCCCAGCTAGTTAAGAGCAGACTAGTTACATTATAACAATAAATCTAGAGTGACAAATTGCCCCACAGTATACAGTGGTTTTACTCTTTCACAGATTTCCTTATCAATATCAGCATGTATGCTGGTGCTCTCAGTCGTGTCCAACTCTTTGTGAATTCTTGGACTGTAGACTGCCAGGCCCCTCTGTCCTTGGAAATTTCCAGGAGGGGGGTGCCATTTCCTTCTCCAAAATATCAGCACAGTGCACATATAATTTTGATGAATGAACATATGTGCGTGCTAAGTCACCTCAGTCGTGTGATTGTTTGCAACCCCATGGACTGTAGACTGTAGCCTGCCAGGATCCTCTGTCCATGGGATTCTCCAGGCAAGAATACTGGAGTGGTTCGCCATGCCCTCCTGAAGGGGATCGTCTGTAAACTATTTAAAAATTTCTTATTCTATTAACTTAGTAGGGAATGCATATCTACCTCACATTTTTCTTAATTCCTTCTTGATTAAGACGTGTGAAAAAAAGTGAAAGTGAAAGTCGTGTCCAACTCTTTGTGACCCCATGGACTATACAGTCTATGGAATTCTCCAGGCCAGAATACTTGAGTGGGTTGCCTTTCCCTTCTCCAGGGGATCTTCCCAACCCAGTGATTGAGCCCAGGTGCAGGTGGATTCTTTACCAGCTGAGCCACAAGGGAAGCCCACAAGGTTTTGTATATGTATTTGTATATGTATTTGCCTAAATTAGTTTCATTGTATGTGTCATTGCTGGGAACTCACAACTGTTGAATCTATTAATACAAAATTCAGAACAATGTATAAAACTGTGTTAATTATCAACCACTGTATAATAAATTATATCCAAATACTGTGGCTCACAACAACAATCTTTATGATCTCAGTTTTGGTGGGTCAGGAATCTAAATCACTGCTAAGCTGGGTCTTCTGACTCTGGTCACTCACAAGGCTGCCTTCCAGGTGCCAGCTGAACCAACAGTTGTCTGAAGACTACTAGTAAAAGAGTACTCCCAAGCTCACTCATGGCTGGAGGATTCAGTTCTTTGCACACTATTGGCCAGAATTCTCCCTTTAGTCCTCACTATGTGGGCATCTTCCTAGAAGACTCCCCCAGGGTCGCTAGATTCATGAGACTGAGCAAATGAGAAGACAAAAGAGAGCAAGATGGAAATCACAACCTTTTGCAACTTAATATTGGAAATAACACCTCATAACTTTTCCCACTATTTATTTATTGGAAGCAAGTCACTAGTCCCTGCTTATATTCAAATGGAGGGTATTACAGAATGGTATAAATATCAATGGGTGAGGACAACTGGGACCCATTTCAGAAGTTGTCTACCACAGAAATTACAGATGAGAAAGTGGCTTTCTCAATGTCTACACTCTCCATACAATTTTCCAAACTTCATGTAGAAGTGACTTTATTTTAAAGATTGACAATTTAAGTACTTCATCTTGTTCTTGATACATTTTCTTAATGTCTTGCTTTCTGTCACTCCCTGAAACACTTTTAACTTTCTTTTTTAGACAAAATGCTTACAGAAATCAAAATGATATTTAAGTAGTGATAAGCATGTAGGATTCACTTGCTAATCCAAATTATGGAGTTAGAATCTATTTATATTTTCCATCTTTCTTTGCTTCTTAATTATTTGTAGCTATTCACTTCAAATTCTAAAACTCACTTTAACACATTTTTAAAATGTCTTTGATAAAATATTAACTCAGCTTAGCACCATGATGTTGAAGACAATTTCTTCTGATGTCAGAAGCACAAATTAACTCTCTGATACACAAAATCTATCAAATATTCCACAGTACAGGTTTCAATTAAAATGAAGGCCTCACTAAGCCAGAAGGATTCTTTATTATAATGCAAACTAAATGAGTTGTTTTCTACTTTCAAAGAGGAGACTCACTGATAGAATATTGAAAAGGCAGTTCACTCAGATGAGAATCTAAGTGAAGAAGGGAAATAGGTTTATTAACATAGAAACTAATAATAAGTACATGATGTGACCAAAAAAAATCAGGAAAACTGCCAGCAAATATGTTGCAATCAGAAATCACAATAAAATATAATCTAGATATACTTTGATTTAAACCATAAACAAGTACTTCCCTCTACAAACTTCTGGGAAAGTCTCATGACTTTAAATTTTTGTTGGAAGGATAAAAATGATAATGAATAGTGTAAGTCCTTT